TGATACCATCCCTATGGTGAAGTATAGCAGTTCCCGACAACTAAATTATATGTGCCACTATTTTGGTACCATCCCTATAGTGAAGTATAGCAGTTCTCAACAACTAAATTATATGTGCCACTATTTTGGTACCATCCCTATAGTGAAGTATAGCTGTTCCCAACAACTAAATTATATGTGCTACTATTTTAGTACCATCCCTATAGTGAAGTATAGCAGTTCCCAACAACTAAATTATAAGTGCTACTATTTTGGTACCATCCCTATAGTGAAGTATAGCAGTTCATGACAACTAAATTATATGTGCCACTATTTTGGTACCATCCCTATAGTGAAGTATAGCAGTTCATGACAACTAAATTATATGTGCTACTATTTTGGTACCATCCCTATAGTGAAGTATAGCAGTTCCCGACAACTAAATTATATGTGCTACTATTTTGGTACCATCCCTATAGTGAAGTATAACAGTTCATGACAACTAAATTATATGTGCTACTATTTTGGTACCATCCCTATAGTGAAGTTTGGCAGTTCATGACAACTAAATTTTATGTGCCATTATTTTGGTACCATCCCTATAGTGAAGTATAGCAGTTCGCGACAACTAAATTATTTGTGCTACTATTTTGGTTCCATCCCTAAAGTAAGTATAGCAGTTCATGACAACAAAATTATATGTGCTACTATTTTGGTACCATCCCTATAGTGAAGTATAGCAGTTAACGACAACTAAATTATATGTGCCACTATTTTGGTACCATCCCTATAGTGAAGTATAACAGTTCGTGACTACTAAATTATATGTGCTACTATTTTGGTACCATCCCTATAGTGAAGTATAGCAATTCCCAACAACTAAATTATATGTGCCACTATTTTGATACCATCCCTATAGTGAAGTATAGCAGTTCCCGACAACTAAATTATATGTGCCACTATTTTGGTACCATCCATATAGTGAAGTATAGCAGTTCCCAACAACTAAATTATATGTGCCACTATTTTGATACCATCCCTATAGTGAAGTATAGCAGTTCGCAACAACTAAATTATATGTGCCACTATTTTGGTACCATCCCTATAGTGAAGTATAGCAGTTCCCAACAACTAAATTGTATGTGCCACTATTTTGGTACCATCCCTATAGTGAAGTATAGCAGTTCCCAACAACTAAATTATATGTGCTACTATTTTAGTACCATCCCTATAGTGAAGTATAGCAGTTCCCAACAACTAAATTATATGTGCCACTATTTTGATACCATCCCTATAGTGAAGTATAGCAGTTCCCAACTACTAAATTATATGTGCCACTATTTTAGTACCATCCCTATAGTGAAGTATAGCAGTTCATGACAACTAAATTATATGTGCCACTATTTTGGTATCATCCCTATAGTGAAGTATAGCAGTTCCCGACAACTAAAATATATGTGCTACTATTTTGGTACCACCCCTACAGTGAACTATAGCAGTTCCCGACAACTAAATTATATGTGCTACTATTTTGGTACCATCCCTATAGTGAAGTATAGCAGTTCCCAGCAACTAAATTATTT